AGTTTCTGAAAAACATTCCTATGGCCTCAAACAAAACACACGGCTGCATGTGTCCAACATTATGATTCAGCGAGAGCTTTAGCTAAATACTCACAGCAGGCCGCCTGCAGACCAGCACCAGGATATCAAGAGTAAGGTAGGAGGTGGCCAGGGCATCTCTCTTCTAGACCACAGCCTCGGCTCTAAAATTGGTCCCAACACATCCATGCCTGCTCAGGTTCCTTCCCCCTACCCCGGAGAGATGTGAGTCTTGGGGCTCTGACTGTCTGGGTGAAGTTTTTAAAAGGTAGTATCTCCGCTATTAGATCCCTGACAACGTGAGAGTTTGGAAACGTAAAACTGGAAGCAAAAACATTTAGATTCCTGAAACCACATTTTCTTTTGGGCTCTCGGTATGACGGTACTCCGTAAAGGTGCGCCACGTATGCCCGAGGGATGCCCGCTAGGTGGCGCACGTTCTCCACTGTGCCCAGGCGGGTTCGGAGCCAGCACGTTGCTTCTTAACGCCCTGAGAGGTGATCTCCAAGCCTGACTTTCTTACATGCAAGAAAACTAAGCTCCAAAGGGAAAGCGTCCTTGGTGGGGGCGCTTCGCTACATACCAGAGCTGCGAGCATAATCTTATTTCTGAACCCAGTGAGTTTCCATCAGCTGGCTGTCTCCCTCTACACATGGTTTACTTTATTGATTATAATAAAATGGTGTGCTTCTTTCTTTCGACATAACGAGGTTTCGGTTCAGATCCGCAAGTCTTAGGCGTGCTTTATTTTCAAATGCGTGGAATAGAAAAAAAAATCCTTAGATTTGCCTGCTTGAATTTTTTCTTTGATTTCCTTAAAATTAAACGAAGCTCCTTTTCTGATGAACGCGTAAATAGAAACGGGTCAGGTCGAGGATGGGAAACACTGAATGAGAATAAAGCTTAAGGTTAATGAGAAAAACCAGTTAGCGCGGAAAATCCAATTGTTTTCGGCATCAGATAAAGCCATATCTGATTCCGGATTTAGCCACTTACTGGCGGTCAAGTCATTTAAACTCCGGGAGTCTCAATCTCTTCATCTGTAAAACGGGAATAATAATGTGTTCGACTCATTCTATTCCCAGGGTTGAGTATATTGAATGAAACAATAGGCTTCATCTCTGGGTTTAAATGCAGAAGTCCCTTAGCCCCTAGTAACAATGGTTTTCTCTGCGGTCTGATATACCTGGACCACGTGCGAGAAAAACCCCGCGGGGAGCTGGATGACCTAGGAACGCAGGATCCGGTGCTTGCTGGCTGGTAAGCAGGGTGTCGCTCGACGCTCAGGGTGCCTTGGCGGCCGCGAGCGCTCTCCGGGTCCCGGGCGCGACCTCGGCCCGGGCCGGCTCTGGGGAGCCTGCTATGGGCCCCTCCCTCCTGTCGCTTGCTCGCTCAGTCCGGCAGCGGCCTCGGAGGGCTCCGAGTGCAAGCCTTCGTTTTAAAGGACTGGAATCTAGAGACGGCAGGTGACGTCTGTCAAAGTCACCACATCCGAGAGGAATCCCGCGTGGTCTTCTGCTGCCGGGCAAAACCCAGCGTGCGCCCTCCGGCCACTGGCGACAGAGAAGGCGGTCTCTACCCGCTGCTTGAGGCGGCCGAGGGCGCAGGTGGCGGGGGTCAGGGGCGAGGCGCCCGGTGGCACTGACAATCTCGGGCGAATTCGGGTCCCTGGGAGCGCGGGCACGTGCACGGCAGCTCACGGCGCGCCCCCGAGGGCCGGGGTTTCCCCCTCCCCCGCCCCCTCCTCGGTTCCGGCGGGTTCCACTCTGCGTCCGCCTAAGCCCGCTGCCCGCACTCCGCGCCCGGGATGATCCCGGGACCAGAGGGCGCGGCACGTAGGGGGCGCGCGGGAACCAAACCGGGGAGGAGGAACGGGACCAGGGAAAGAGGAAGGAGAGGAGAACGTAGGAAGAGGAGGGGAGGGAAGGGAAAGAGAGGGAGAAAGTAGCGGGCGTGGAGCGAGAAGGGCGTCTCCCCCAAGTCTCACCGGCCACGCAGCCCAGCTCCCCAGCTCGCCGACTGCCCGGGCCGGCCCAGGCCTGAGCGCGGCGCTAACGGAACGGCGGGCACTGCCGTCGGGAGGCTGCCGAGTTCCAGGCGCTGGCGGCTGCGCCCAAAGAAATCGCCCTCGATGGGCACCGAGCGGGGCCTGGGAGCGGCCGCGTCCCTGCCCCTGCAGGTCTGTGACCGAGCGACACGCGCTGACCTGCTGAGCCTTCCACACACACCCCCACCCGCCGGCCTTGACTCTGCATGTACCCCAGGGTATCTCTGGGCACACAACCATTTCCGCTCACCGTGCTCCAAGGCCTTTTCATCTCCGCGGGACCGCTTATTAGGAGCGGCTTCCAGTTATAGCTAAAGCCCGGTGTGTCTATCCACCTCCAAACGCTCTAACTCCTGGCCCTGCCTGCAGTCACTCGCCAGAACTAGAGATCCACTGACCGCCGCAGTTGCCCCAGATGCCATCAGGAGCCTCCCTTGCTCTGCGGGTCCTGGAGACGCGGAACCGAGCGAGCCACTTTCTTACACTCCAGGCACACAAAAAACTCTGAAACCTCAAAATCATGCTTTGAAAACCTATGCCCAAGCCTGTGACCGGGGCATATCCGACTGTGATTTGGGTTTCTTTTTTAAAAGGGAATTTGGAAGAGGGGGCAACTAAATGGTAGTTATTTTCAAGTAAGTCTTTGCATAGTTCCCGAATTTTGTGTACTGCTGGGTCGTCCAGCCCCCGAACATCTCTGCCCTCCCGTATGATCAGAACACACTCCACTATTTGTCAACAGTAAGTCCTAACCCCACAAAGCGACAGCTGTATGGGGCACAAGGTCCACACCTGCTCATCTCCTACCTTCTGGGAAATCTTTGTCAATCTCTCCTCGACTTGCCCTCAGAGAAAAACAACATCTACGTGTATATACTCCCAACACCAAGGCTTAGGAGGCGGGAAGGGGGAGGTAATTTGATGAATAAAGGTGAATGGGAAGACACACTTTTTTTTGGAAACCTGTGGGCATTCTGCTGTTCTTTTCCCGGCCTGAAGAAGATCCCAGTCCCTCACAGTTGCTGAATAGCGACGCCACATTTAAACACCTTTCTTTCAAAGCCGATGTAATTGTACAGAGATATAAAGGGCAATGACCTCTAAGTGGTGGGAGTTTTTCCCAGGCATACTACAGGGTCTGCACAGAGCAAGAAAGCATCATGTGGGTGAAATGCTCAGGAACACAGATGCTGCAAAGACCTCATTCTGAGGCTGAAAACTATAAATAGTGGGTGCATTTGCTCCTGGGTGCAGAACAAGGACAACTGAAAAGAAAGCAACAGGGGCAAATGTTACTTATTTTAATGACACTGAAAACACCAATCCCAGCAATTTGCTAAATTAAAATCACAGTCCTTTAAATTTATGTAATGGTTCGAGTTTCTGTATTTGGTGTTATCCCTCTGGTAAAATTTATGGAATACAGTAAAGTACATTACTTGAACAAATTTCTTATTTTAAAATAAATAACATAAATAAGCAACCTATGTTTTTATGTACCCACAATATTTGTATTTCTTAGCTTGGTTCCTACTATTACAAAAAATAATGTATTTCTTACTTTTTAAGAGCATTAAATCTTGTCAGTTCTGTATCATTTTACGATGGTAATTCCCAGATATACTTTCAAACAAGTAAATATGTATTTATAATCTTATCCAACTCAGAAGTAGCAGGACATTTAAAAAACAAATTAAAGTTTCTTTTTTTCTTGCTGGTGTAAAACGTAACTAACTCCAATTAAATTCAATATTGATCGTTCAGGGATTTGACTGTTCAATTTCCAGACACTCTCCCAAAGATGCCTTCCAATTCTTCACCTGACTTTAGTTTTAACTGTACCATTTTTTTCTTTTAGTTCCTCTGTAGACATCGGATGAAATCAAAGACGGCAAAGAAAAAAAAATATTTCTAGAGTGATTTTAATTAGCTGATTATTTCAGCAAAGAGCATTAGTGAGGAAGCTGCAAAACTGTAGGAAGACAAAAGATGCATTTTGTTCTTCGTGTTTGTGATCTTTCCTAGAGAACAGAAACTAATGATGTATGGAAACGCATTATCTTGGATTTTCTCCGTAGATTTTGACTGAATTGAATATCAGTGCTCCATAAAAACGCTGGAGTTGGTAGATACATCTGCAGATACGAAACGTGCTTTCAGGATGGGTGAGCCTCCCTGTCGCTGGAGGATGCTTCGAGGACCAGACTTAGGAGAGAAGGGGTTAAGTCAGACCCTGACTTTGGCGGCGTAACATGCCCAGTTTTGTCTGTTAAAGTCAACGTTGCCCAACTGGAGCCAGCCAATGGACGGTCTGGAGCGTCCAGGACAGCCCAGTGAAGGGGCGTGGCCTGAGACTGTCACTCAGCAGTGAGGAATGACACCCAGGCGGGAGGGGGGTACGGTGGAACGCAGGGGAAGGAAAGAGAAAAGAAACAGATAAAACCAGAGCAGGGGGTAAAAAGGTGCCCCGCGCCTCTCGGAATCCAGCGGCCGCCGCCGCGTCCGGGGCTGGGCTCCGGAAGAGGCTGCCCAGCAGGGAAGGGAGCGGACTAGTCGGGAGCGAAATCCTGCAGGCGGGGAAGAGACAGAAGCGCAAAGAAAAAGTGACTCCGGCCGTGAGCCCCGGCGGCGCTCGGGAGACTGCAGCAGCAGCGGAGGGGGCCCGCCAATCCTCCTCCGCGTCCCCCGAGGGGGCAGACCCCGGCCCGCCCCTAAGGGCTAGAGGCGATGAGATAATCCAGCTGAGCTGCGAAAGGGGAGCGTCTGGCGCTGGATTCGGGGGGAGAGGGTCTCCGGGCGGGGTGGGCCTCTGAGGTGGGGGTGAGGGTCGGCGCAGATCCCGGGACGGAGAGGGGCGGGGGCTGCGGGGCCGCGCAGGAGTGGGCTGCTGGGGCCTCGCGCACCCGGCTCACTCGCGCTGCACCCGCCCGCGCTCTCGGTCCCGCTCGGAGCTGCTCGGCGCCCCAGCTGCCCGCCCGGCCGGCCGCTCCGGCCCGCGGCGCAAATGGCTGTGCGCGGCGCCAGCACCTTGACGCCCTTCTCCATCCAGGCGATCCTCAACAAGAAAGAGGAGCGCGGCGGGCTGGCCGCGCCGGAGGGGCGCCCGCCGCCCGGGGGCACAGCGGTGGCGGTGGCTGCGGCGCCCGCCGTCTGCTGTTGGCGGCTGTTTGGGGAGACGGACGCGGGCGCACTGGGGGGCGCCGAGGACTCTCTGCTCGCGTCTCCTGCCGGTACCAGAACAGCTGCGGGGCGGACTGCGGAGAGCCCGGGAGGCTGGGACTCAGACTCGGCTCTCAGCGAGGAGAACGAGGGCAGGCGGCGCTGCGCGGATGCTCCGGGGGCCAGCGGGGCAGGCCGCACGGGAGGATCCCTGAGCCTCGGCCGGCCGATCTGCGAGCTGCCCGCCTCCAAGGACCTGGAGGAGGAAGCCGCGGGCCGGAGCGACAGCGAGATGTCGGCGGCCAGCGTCTCAGGTCTGCTGCGGCTTCGCGGGGAAGGGGGCCGGGCTGCGGGGATGGACGAGTAGGGCGACGCCGCCGAGTTGGGTGGGCTGACTGTGAGTACCCTGCACCCCGGGGCTCGGAGGCTGGCCAAATCCCGAAGTTCCGCGCGCTGGCGCGAGCTGCTCTACCCCTCCGAGAACTGAGCCGGCGAGAGGACGAAGGAACTTCTCAGAACCCCGCTGTCCTGGGGCGAGGCCTGAGACGGCCTGGGTCAATATGCACTAGACAGGGTTGGGAGAGAACCTCTGCACCCTTCGCTAGGGGTGGCGGGTAGGGGGTGAGTACATCGCCAGGGCCTTCTGCCGTGTCTGTCCCCAAATCCCCAAAATCAGTGAAGGGTAAGAATGAGGGGTCCAGAGACCTCAGGTAACCAGTGCTCTAGCCCTGGCCCACAGATCCCACCAGTTTGAGGTTCCAGGGCTTGGCCTCACAGTGCAGGAATAGGTAGCGAAGAACACCTCCAGATGAGTCAAAGGCGAGATCCGCAGAGCCGGGACTTTAGGGAAAGAGCGGGTTTAGCTTTCTCAGACCTCAGAGCTGTGAAAGCAGCCGGGGCCGAGGACCCAGGAACTGGAGGCAAATCCTGCAGCCAGCTGCAGGCAAGAGGGCAAGATTTAATTCATTCTGGACACAGGAGAGGGGCTTCCTCAGCTGAAGACTGACACATCATGCAGTCTGAAAGACACGGGTGCCAGCCCCAGTGGGGTGCAAACTGCTGTAGGCCTCAGCTGGCCCCAAGCAGGCCAGGGCTCTGGACCTCTTGCTAGGTTGCTTCAGGCAGCAGGAAGAGGCTGAGGAGCTGGTGTTGCTTAAGGGTCCAGGGACCCGAGGCAGGGACACCCCCCTCTCATCACTCTCCAGCCCGCCCTCCTCTCATTTCCTTGGGAAGCTAGGGAGAGAAGCCACCCAAGGCTTTGGCACAGCCTGTTGCCATACCCCTCACAGCAATACAGGCGGTTGAGGGTGGAAGACTCCAAATACCTCTGGCCCCAGGACCATCCCCCTACCTTTCCTTTACCTGCACCGGCGCGCGTGCGTGAGCTGTGTGGGGAAGCGGGTGGACCCGAGCAAGGAGGCGGAAATGCAACCAAAAACCCCAGTGCTGAGCTCTGAGAGCTCAGAGGGCTTGCGGAGATGCTGGGGCCCAGCTCCCCACGTTACTGATTGGAGCCTGGGGCCCTGGGAGGGCGTGGAGCTGGTCCTCGGCCTTATGGCTTTGACACAGCGGCCGAGTAGGTCGCAGGCATCGGAAGAGGCCTAATGCCGCACGCGCACTAGTGGAGCAGGGTTCTGAGACTGGTCTCCAGGGCCCTTGGCCTCTGCGACCTCAGCGCCGCTTGGGGGGAGGGAGGGATCAAAGTGTATTTCCGCCCCGCCCCAGTGACCCCTACACTTGAGGCCTGGCCTCACCTCCTCTTCGGCGCTGACAGTCTCTTGTTTCTGTTCCCACCGGGGTCCGCAGGCGACCACAGCCCAAGGGCCGAGGATGATGGCGTTGGCGCCAGAGGTGCACACGTGCCGGCGCTGTGCAGCGGAGCCGGCGGCAGGGGCAGCGGCGCACCGGCGGGCGGCGTGGAGGAGGAGGAGGAGCCGGTGGCGCCGAAGCCGCGTAAGAAGCGCTCTCGAGCCGCCTTCTCCCACGCGCAGGTCTTCGAGCTGGAGCGTCGTTTTAACCACCAGCGCTACTTGTCCGGGCCGGAGCGTGCAGACCTGGCCGCGTCTCTGAAGCTCACCGAGACGCAGGTGAAGATCTGGTTCCAGAACCGTCGCTATAAGACCAAGCGCCGGCAGATGGCCGCGGACCTGCTGGCCTCGGCGCCCGCCGCCAAAAAGGTGGCGGTAAAGGTGCTGGTGCGCGACGACCAGAGACAGTACCTGCCCGGCGAGGTGCTACGGCCACCCTCGCTTCTGCCACTGCAGCCCTCCTACTATTACCCTTACTACTGCCTCCCCGGCTGGGCGCTCTCCACCTGTGCGGCCGCTGCGGGCACCCAGTGAGCCCGCCTGGGCTGAGGCAACAAATGATTCCCACACCCGGCTCCGACGGCCGTGTAGGCTGTAGCCCACACAGGGGCGCTCCGCCACGGGGGCAAGTGGAGGATGAAACCCAGCTCTGGCTCCGCTAGCCAGGACTCGAGCCCTGGCAGCGGGACTGAGTATACCCAGAGGAGGCGCTTTTTTCTAATTTGAACAGAGGCACCCTATGGCCCCCCGCTCGCCCCTCACCTGTCTGGAAGCCCTTGGACACTATTTATTATCACGACAATGTTGGATTTGGATTATGTCTGCCTGCTGGGGATGGCGTTTCCCCAGAGCGTTGAACTCCTGGAGACCACATAGCCTGAATCCCCAGCATTTCAGGCCTGCTGGGAGCTTCGTGCGCTAGGCCACACTAGTTCATGGTATCCATGCTACCAATCTATGTGTATCTACATATCTTTTATTTTTGGAAATTGCATTTATAACAAAGCGGTGCGGAACCCTGGCAGCCGCAGCCCAGGGGGTGATTTGAAACGTGAAGGGTTTGGTTTTCAGGCGCTCGCTCCACCCCTCCCGAGTGTCAGAGCTCTGGTGGGGGCGCCCTAGTGGGTGCTGAATGTAAGGAAGGGAGCTTCTGCGTGTTGGGCAGTCTAGGGGTATCCACACCTTCCCTCTCCGAAGTCCAGGGCCCGGTCCGGGTGGCAAGCGCCTGAGAACCCCCCCCCCAACAAGGAGAGCGCACACTCGGGCAGCCCTTTGCAGAAACTTTCCTTCGTTTAAAAGAGATTAAGACTCGTAGCACTTTTCAGTTGTTTGTATTCAAATGACGGTTATTTCTTGTACTCAATGTGAATATCCCCGGCCAACCTTTCCAAGGCATCCTCCCTGGTGCCACCGCCTGGCCCTCGGTCTCTCACTTGCACCCTCTGCAACTCTGCGCCCTGGCCCGGGACTCCCCTATCTGCCCTTCACCTACCCTTGGACAGGTGATCCTACCTGTTGTGTCAACCTCGCCGCTTTTCGCCTCCTTAAGGGCACTGTGCACTCAACTAGAGTATTAACTGTAAAAAGATTTGTGAAGTTTGAAAGCTCTATTCGCTGTATTTTTTCTTTAATTTATAAACTTTTATTTTAACATGCCCTCCTGGACGCCGTGTTTTTCTCTGAGACGTTCTCCGACTTCGGGGGCGGGGGGTAGACCAGTGACGCGGGCTGGAGATAGCTGGGGCGCATTTTCCCAGCCTCTTTTCAGTTTTGGACCCAGGATGTCCAGCCCCTCCCGGGAGAAGCTCTGCTGCCCGCCCCGCAGGAAGGGTGCAAACCTCCGCGGCTCAGGGAATCGCAATTTCGGGAACTTCGCAGGAGTCACGGATGAATCCCACTGAATTCGGGGGCAAATTCCCAGGATTCCTTTTTTTCTCGAGGGCATACTCTGAATTGTAGAAAGCGCCCATGGCTGAACCCCCAGCCAGTCTCCATCCCCTCCTTCAATCGGCTGACCCTTTTCTTTCTCACACTCGTGCACACTCGCGCGTGTTCTCTCTCTCTCTCTCCTTTCGATTTTTGGAGCATTTCTCTAAGTGATTCGGTCTTTATTTCGTTCCCAGAATAGGCCAGTAAAAACTCCACTGAAATTCCGAAGCGATTCGAAGCAAACCAGGTGCTAGTAAAGTGGTCTCTGGGAGAAGGTCACCTGCTCGTTTGCCTCGGACGGGTGCAAATGGCGCTCTACAGTGTTTCAAACGTGGCGTCATTTGACCCGCACCGAGGCTCACAGAGCATGGGCAGGACAAATGTTATCGACCACCCGGTTTGCAGATGGACATACTCAGCTGCGTTCCTTGACTCCCCCGAATAGCACAGATTCACCGGAGAGAAATGCTCACCTTTCCGCGCCCCTCGCGCCAGGTCCCCGGCGAGCAAGGAAGAGTTAACGCCACATCGCAGGCGCCGAGGCCTCCAGCCCGCGGGCCCCAGTCGGGAAACACCGAAATCCAGGCCCTGGCTTTCAGCTGCACCTGGAGCAGAGAGGCCGACTTGCTCTCCTACCTGGCAGCGACCTTTCCCTGTCCCCCGGCCTCCAGGCCTTGGTACCCCAAAGGCCTTGGCCTGGAGATCCGCGAGCCCTCGGCCCGGCGGGGCCGGACTGTGGGGACAAGCGCTTTACAAAATGATTCCCACTTCCGGGAACAGCTAACTGTGCAGGGAAATTCAAAGACCCTCGGGATGCACATCCCTCCCTACGCTGCCCCCAGCCCCGTCCCGCGCTACCTTCCGTAGGGCTCTTAGAATGTTTCTTTTTCAAATGTTTTAAGAGTCTATTTTAATTTTACAGTTAATCTCGGATGCACTTTCCTTGTTGAAAGTTGGAACACTTCCAATAATGCGAGAATCTCCTCCCCTTCTCTCCCCAGAGATCGCCACTTACGCAGGGTTGTTTTGCTTTGTTTTCTTTTTTCAGGAGGGGGGGGAGGAATTTTTCCCCCCTTTTTCGATAAAGGCAGTTTGTTGCTGTGTCCTAACATAGGGTAGTTTGTTCTTCATCTTTGCGGATCCGGAAGCGAAAAAACTAAGGCGTTTCTTTCGAGTAGGAAAAGGCACTGGGGTCTAGGGTCTCACCCTGCGCAACTCTGTCTTCCGCCGTAGTCCCCACTGTCCCTACTGCCGACCCGGGTCGCCAGAGCGCCGTCCTCAACTATCCCACTCTCCGCTCCCGGGCTCCTCGTCCGGGCCGACTCAGCGGGGGCTGGCTCGTGCCGCCCAGGGAAAAGGACTCGACTCGAATGAATTCGGTGTGATCCGGGTGGTGGCAGTTTCCTTCCGAGCTGCCCTGCAGTTTGCTTTGGCGCGAATGCCCTGAGGTCTGATTCCGGGAGCCGGAGGCCGCCTCCGTGTCCAGCCGGTCCTCCGGGGATTTCCTACCGCATTTCAGGACCCAAGAGGAGTGTCTTTACCTGGGTCTCTGGTTGCAGACGCGGTTCCTCTTGGAAATTTGCAATATTACTTTCTTCGTTTTCTTTTCTTTTCTTTCTCCACTACTCTTCCCCTAACACGACTTTTTATTTATTTATTTTTTGGACGATGAGAAAAAGCACACCCTCTGCTCCCTGCTCAAGGGGATCTTCGTTCATCCAATTCCTTCGCCCGTGTGCTGTGCGGAGCCTTCTCGGCCTCTCTGGGGCCTGGTCTCCTAGAGCAGTCCCAGTGCTGCCTGAGCCCAGTGGACTTTCGCCCTCGTCTTTCTCAGCCTCTTTGGCCCTTAGAGAATGTTAAAGCTGCCATGGGGAACTTTGGGTCAGATTCACTCATTTTACAAATGTGTAAACCAAGGCAAGAGGAATGACTGGGAAAGGGGGAAGAACAAGCTATGACCCACACTGAAGTTGGTCCCAAGGATTCAAGCCTGGCCCCCAAATCCTGCTTTAGGCAGCAAATCTGGGATCAGTCAGCTAGCAAATGTTGCTGGTGGGTTGTGTGTATGTATGTGTGTGTGTGTGTGTGTGAGAGAGAGAGAGAGAGAGAGAGAGTCCCAGCTTGCTGGCCTTGCTAATCCTAAACTGTGTCTCCTTTCAAGATAACACCTAATCCCAGCACCCTTGCAGTTCCCCCATGCTGGGAAAAGGTAGAGAGTGACAGCGAATCTGTCCATTCCAGAGGGCCCAACTGGGTTCAAACACCACCTCCTGCGCATCTGAGGGGTGGCTTATTGTTGCCAATGTCCAGAACCCGGACTCGGTTTGCAGAGAGGTGTCGTGGGGGGGCTTCTGAGGAGTGGAGAGTGGGGACCAGGGATCCTGGTCCTCTCCTCTTAGAGAGAGGGCAGCTCTTGAGCAGTGCATCCCACAGAGGCGGAACCTCGGGCCTGCAGAGGTCTGACCAGGCAGGGGTCCTGTGACTCTAACTTGCTAACAGCCATGGGAGCTCAGAACCAGTGGGGCTAATAAACCCCTCTCCTCTACCCACCTTTCTGTGTTTGGGAGGAAAATGTGGAACCTAGCCTACTGCATGCAAAGTCCGCGAAGTTTAACCCGCTTCGCCCAAAGTCTCCTCCTGCCTCATGGGAAGGTCACTGCCTACTCACCTTGAGAAATGGGGAGAATCAGGCATTTCTCCAAAACCCAGTAATGGGTGGAAGAGCTCCTGGGCCCCAAAGGATGAATAGGAGGAGACAGAGCCACACTGGGGCCCAGGCCACTGCCCGGGCACTGCAGGACTTCAACTTCGCAGGTCACCAACTTCATCCTGCCAACCATTTCACTGGGAGCCACACAGAGCTTTCTGGGAGCTGCACAGAGACAGCAAATGCTTGAAAGTGCTTTGTAAGTCAGAAAGTGCCCAGGGCTGGTAGCTGACCGGGTTACTGCAACTGCTGTGGGCCGGCTCAGCTGTTGCAGAAGCTACTGGCGTTGGCCTCACTCAGAGCTGCGAAGGAAACAGCAGCACAGGCTCCTAATCTGAGGGAGGCCCGGAGGAGCAAACAAACAATATTTAATAATAATAATGACAAAAACAACTCCATTAATTTGTCTACAGCATTACATGTGAAGTGCTTCTGAATCCTGTCACAATCCGATTTGCTGAGGGTCCCTGTAGCCTGGCAGCCATGACCTCCATTTTATAGATGGGGAAACTGAGGCTCAAAGAGGCAAAGTGATTTATCCATTGTCACAGGCCATTGAGAGGCCAAGTCAGGGTCATTCAAAACCTAGAGGCATATTTTAGCACTTGAAGAGGCAAGATAGATGATCGCTTAGCACTGGCATCTGCTAGGGTTGGATCTAGAGTGGTTGGATCTCAAAAGTGCATATGTACTTTGAAAACCAGCAAACACTGTACAATGGGTATGAGCTTATTATTACTGTTGCCATTATTATTATTATGAATTTGGGGGCAATGCTGAATTGGCTAACCTGAAACTATCTGCCTTGAATTCTTGCATCCTTCAGAGGGTTCCATGTGTCTTGTAGTTTGCTAAGCTTAGGGTCTCTCAGAGGTCTAGATGCTCCCTGCCCCCAGTTTTCCATCTCCTGATATAGTAAGTGTTTTAAAAATGAAGAAATGCCAAAGTAGGGCTGCAAAAAAATTGCATTATGTTGTAAATTGTTACATCATCTAATAAATTGGGGTGTTTTTTTTGTAATCACACATAGGAGTTATTCAACATAAATGGGGTTGTTCAGATTATTAAAGCATTTATAAAAGATTGATACCCAGGGCCCTGCAGGCAGGCAGGGGTGGTCCAGTGTAGGATATAGGTTTACGTTGAACCATGAACGTCTTTTAAACCTGTGGGGTATATATCTGAGACTGTGCCTCCTATGAAGCAAACGTCAAAAGTCTCTATTTTGGGCAATTCGAAAATGTAAGAACTGGGCAAACGGCCCTACAGCCCAAAGCCCCGCAGCCCGCCCGGGCAGACGTTGCTGTTGCTGCTTTTTGCTTTGAGGTGGTTGAGGGAAAGGCAGGAGCGTGGCTTTTGGCTGACCCTGGCCGACCCCCGAATCTGCAGCCACTGCGACTAGCACCTCTCAGTTCCTTTGGGAAAGTCCAGTTCAAAAGGAACACAGGGTAACTGCGGGGACTGGGGCAGGGGTTTGGGCGTCACCTTTGCTGAATCCTCTGGCGAGCTAAGCTGGCTTCCGGGCTCAAACTTTTTCTCCAAGCTTGCGTGAACGTGCGTGACCAGCTCTCCCCGCCCAAGGCGCGCTCTCATCCGTTATCCCTCCCAAGCCACGCTACCGCTGGCAATCCCTGGGGCGGCCCGCGGTTCTGCGGTTCGTGCGCCCGCAGAGTGAAAAGCACCTAGTGTCTGCACAGACCGCACGGTCCCGGGCGAGCGTCTGCATCGGTCCCTACTGTTTCTGCAATTGCAGCTTGACGCTCCCCGCGCGAGGACGCAGCGCTGGGTTCTGCGCCGGCCTGGAGTCTTCTTGGTGAGTTCTTCCCGTCTCTCTCCCGGCCCCCTTCGGTGGCTACACTCAGGCCTCGGCCTGAGCCGCTCTCCCTAGGACCCGGCGTGGGCCCCATGCCTGGGGGAGGGTGCACCAGGTAGGAGCTTCAAACCCAAGGGTGGGAGATGGTCGAATCCGGCTCAATGGCCTCATAGGTCCATAGATTAAGGCTGCTTTTAGACTTGGACTCCACAGGCCCGAGGCAGCTCTGCTATTGTCTTGGTGAGTCTTAGGCAATTAACTTCTCTTCTCTGGGACTCTATTAAAAATAATAATGATGATGATAATGATGTTGTAATGTCCTGGGTAAAGTTTGGAGTCCATTTTTGCCTCTCACTTGGAGTGGTGGTAAAAGACAAAGCCTTTCTACTTTAAATAATGAATCATGCCCTTGCTGAGCACTTTTAGGTTTTTTGTTTTGAGGGGGTGGAAGGAAGTGGTGTTTTGTTTTGTTTTTAAAGATTTGGGTTGCCCCAAGTTGCTGCCCTGCAGGCCTCCACCAGAAGGTCATTATCTCTGGACCCCCTTTCTCTGCCTTCCTGGGTCTGGGTGGTCAGTCAGCAGTTTGGTTAAGCCCAGCTTTTCCTCTCTGCGGACTTCCTCCCACCCACCACACTCGCACTTGGGAGGGAGGAGACCTGGGGCTATTCTTCCTGAGGCAGCGCTAGGCTCAGGAGAGTCCCACGTCTTTGGATGGAAAGCACTATAAGAAAAAAAAAATTAATGCCACAAGCTCTTTCTCCCCCCGTGGTCCACCAGAACGCGAGGGTGGGCAGCTCATTTAAAATGAGAGCCAGTAAAGCCGCTCATTTTAATAAGCTTATTAACATTTTTGAATGGCTTTCC